CAAGGTACTATGAAACGAAATAACTCGAGATGATAACAATAATAAATAATTTAAAAAATATTTATAAATATTTTAAATTATTAATATATAAAATTTAATGAAAGATAGTAAGCACATGTCCGGAGCAATCCTTTGAAATTTTTTGAGCTTTTTCACAGTTGATATCTGACAAATGGGTCCCAATTTGCTATAACTTTTGACTTGTTTTTATTAAAAAAAGACAATAATCAGTGAATAGTATGTATTACCCCTAAATGTTAAAAGTATTCCATGTATCAAATTTTTTTATCGAATTTTTTACCTACTATTCACAATAAAGGCAAGGACCGTGGGCCATCATTTTTAAATCCACGCGAGACCTGCCATACATTGTGAGAGGAGGGATACCATTCGGTAAACCCGCCTTTGCACATATAGGGCTTCTTTGGGAACAATTTTTTCATCCAAAAAATTGATTTTTTATCGTTATTTTACTATTTCAATCGTCATATTTGACTTCTTTTCTCACAGATGAACTCCACTTTTTTTTTCTAACGGTCAAAAAATTAATTCTCAAATGCTCATAAATTTATCCATGTTAAAATTACTTGTATTCATTTCCTCAGCCGTCATATTTGACTACTCTTGAAGGACAAACTTGATAATGCACAGTAAATACAATTACATCTACATCATTATGTTCGAGGGTTGTTAGATGCCAACGGTAAAAAATTTAATTAAAATTGCTTAATATACACAGGCTAAGAATACTCATGAATCCCTCAAAATATTTGAATAAAAATAAAAAAGGTAATTAAATTGTTTATCATAAAAAGGTATAAATATGAGCTAAACACAGGTATACTTGAACAAATTTGATAGACTATATGAGTTATGTTTCATGGTCCATTCAATTCAAATTTTTTTATTGCAAGCATGAAACTTCCGTTGAAAAAAAAAAAAAAATCTAAGACTTATTCGCATGAAAATTATTAATTAAATGTATTTAATTTTCAATTCTGAAAATGTAATACTTATCTATTTTTTATTAGTGAGTAAATGAAAGAGAAGGTGATAGATGAAAAATAGAATTGCTTGGAAAATAAAAACGTGAAAAATACATTGAACCAGATTTTTTAAGTTACTATTTCAAAATTCAGATGTAAAGTTTGTTTATACAAAAATAGATGATAATTCAATATTAATAATTATATTATACAATTAATTAATTTATATACCAACTCTGTCTCCATCAACCTCCCACTCATCCAAACCCTAAATTCTTCCTCTTTTTCTTTCCGTCTACTTATCTCTCTATTTCTAAAAGAGCACACCGATCACTCCCTTCTCTCTCTATCTCCTTCTCTTTGCTTTCTCTAACAGCACTCATAGGCGACAAGGCCTGTGCAATCTCAGTGCGGTGCGCGCGCAACGCAAGGGAGTGCCACTGCGTGCACTCTTGTCGGCGCGATTGTGAGTGGTAAGGACTAGTTCGGTTGGCCAATTGGGATGTTGTAGACGCACGGTAAATAAGTTAGTCTTTAATGTTGTGTCAAGGGCTCGGGTCACCGGTTTACTGGGCCGAGCCGATTTTAATAACTATGGCAGGAAGTATTCGAACCCTTGCAAACAAAATGGGGAGAAATTGAGTGGTCTGGGGTGGCTCCACCATGCTTCTTACGATCTTAAGAAAAGTTAAAAATAACGTTCAATGTGACATTAATTTCAGAAAAATTAGTAGGGCTACATATATTATAAAAGTTCCGTGGTTGAATCATAAGAACCGTGGATTAGGAAAATTATTAATTTATATATTATGTGGGATCTATTTGAATTATGTATTATATTATAAATATTGCAAAATATTATTTTAAAACGCTATTTTCAAGTTTGGACAAATCAAATATGTTATTTAACCAATATAATGAAATTATCGAATATTAAATCAGCAAGCATCTCCTGCATATACAATGTAGGTTTTGCAAATACACCATGTTTATTTGGGTTCTATTGAATTTAGACCAATTATTTGTCAAATTGGTCCATTATAATCAAACTCGTTAATCTATCAATGATTTGATTACCGAGTTTGAGATTGAACTAACTAGTACGATCAAATTTTTAAAACCTATCATTTAAAAAAAAAAAAAACCTTTCTACTAACTGAAACAAATAAGTACTTACGCTAGTCAACCTTTGACCCTTCTTCACTAACATTTTCAAATCAAAATTGATTCAATTGTCAAAATATCTGTAAATATAAATATTATAACCAAATTCATAATTTGGGCACGGGTTCCGGATTTTATTTTCTTTTTAACTATTTCAAACTATCAAAATCAAAATTTCTATTTGAATTCAGTTTTTTATTATAAAATCAAAGCTTTTGACTATAGTATTTCAGCATATATTTGGTCAAATCACTATCACAATTAAATAATACAATATAGAATGAATGTAGTCAAGTCAAGGTAACCTGTAATTTAAATGATTCAATTGCCAATGACTTCTCTAAATGTTAGGGTTGGCAACAGGACGGATTTCTATTCAAGGCGGTGGTCGGGGCTCTTGCCCTATTTATGTACTCATTTAATTTTTTATTAATTTTTGATACTTTATTTATGTGTCTCATTCATTTACGTAAAACAATAATTTAATTATTAAATTTTTTAATTATTATATTTATTTTTAAAAGTTAAATTATTCAAACATATTTGGTAAACTAAGATTTTTATTATTTATCATATTTCTTAGATAAATTTATTTGACATCTTCTATAATTTATGAAATTTCGTAGAATTTTTCCATTTAAAGTATTGAATTTTTAAAAATAAAAAAAAATAGGGGTGGGGCCTCTGTTACCAGTACCCGTCCCGTAACTAACCCTACCCGATTAAGCAGATAATCCTCGCCTCATTCGGGACAAGGCCCTGCGAATATCGAGTTTGACTGGTTTTTTTTGTCATCCCTACTAAATAATAATTAAAGGCGATCAAGAAAGGTTCTCAACTCATTTGTTGAAACGACTCTCTAATTTATTTATTTAATTATTATTATTATTATTTGATGTTGAAGTCTTTACAATAAGCACTACTGTCTTCGAAATGATTTTTTTTTGGGGTTACAGGCCTATTGGCAGGGCTTATCCTTCTGGTATAAAATTCATTTTGAGAAAGTTGCTTTATATAGTTTCACTTAAAAGCACGGGCGGCCCCACATGGGATCATGTGGGGTCAAATGACCCCACAGTTTTCTGATTTTTTTTTTTTTTTTGGTGCTGAAAACTTAATTTTCTGTTTTTTTTTGTGCTGAAAACTTAATTTTCTGCCTCAAAAAGTTCAAATTCTAAATCTATATCCATATCACATGGTCCATATCCATTATTTAGTCCATAAATATATCATATAATCCAACGATTTCTTCCCAAAGTGCACATATCGAATATGAACAGTAAACAACCGATTTTTCCTTTTTTTCATGATACGTTGTTCGAAAAAAAAAAAATTTGACCCCACAGTTCAAATGGTCTGGGTCCGCCCCTGCTTAAAAGTCCTTCTAATCACATAAAAGAGTTTTAAGAAATTATCCAATTAAAAGTAAAATTTTTAATTTCAAAAGTAAATTTTAAGTTTTTAAAAGCACTACAAATTGGCCCTACCAAGATTATTGAGAAACTTATGTAATATACACTATACCAAAAATAGTCATTTGCAATATATAAAAGACAATATTCGATAGTTAAGTGTTGTTAAAGGGGTCTATTGCAATATTTTAATAAGTGAATATTGCAATTAGTTAATGTAATTGAGTTTTGGCAACATTTATTTTAAAAATGTTGTCAATATTACTTTTCTCAACGTTTTTGGAAAGTTGCGAAAAGTCTACCTTTCTGCAATGTTCAAAAAACATTGCAAAAGGTATTTTTTGCAATGTTTTTTGAACATTGTAAAAGGTAGATTTTTCGCAACGTTTAACGTTCAAAAAATGTTGCAAAAGATATCTTTCACAACATTTTTTTGAACGCTATAAAAGGTAGTCTTTTTGCAAAGTTTAGAAAACGTTGCGAGAAGTCTACTTTTTGCAACGTTTAAACGTTTTTTGAACGTTGCAAAGGTTAGGTTTATTTATTTATTTAATTTTTTTTGGATTGTTGGTCCTTTCAATTCAGAAGCCCAAGAGAAAAATGTTGCAGGCCTTAACTCGCAACTCAATTTCGCTTCTCCATTCTCCACGCCTCAATCTCGCACCTCAATCTCTCGCCGATTTCAATCACCATAACTTCGCCTCTCCATTCTCCATGCCTTATTCCCTCTTATTTTTTCAACATCTTGACTTCTATAGTGACTAAATTCGTTAGTCCCTGATTCGTTCAAGGTTTCAGAGATCAAATATTTGATTTAAAAAATTAGATAAAAAATTTAAAATATTAAATCAAAATTTTTCTTCAATATTTTTTATAAGGAACTTTTACTATATATAAGTTAAAAATTTTCTTCTAAATAAGTTTAAGTGATTTTATTTTTTTTAATTATAAGTTCAAGTGAATTTTTTAAGTTTAAAATATCTAACTTTCACAACGTTTTTTAAACGTTGCAAAAGACTTAGGGTGCGTTTGATTGCAAGCATGAAATTTGTATGGAAAGAAAATAAATTATAGAGAATTCAATTGCCTAAAATTTATTTGTATAGAAATTATCAATTAAATGTGTTTGATTGATTTAATTTTCAACCTAAAAAATATTATACTTGTCCATTTTTTATTGGTGGGTTAATAAGAGAGAGTGAGTTCCGTAAAAAATAAAATCATATTCTTCCTAAAAAAAATATTTTCTTTGATTTTAAGGAAAATATGATCACGTGATCAAAAGTGAGAAAATATTTTTTATAAAAAAAATGACAATTAAACAGCACATTAATAAGAATTTGAATAAAAAAATACATTTTCCATAAAAAATATAAACAATCAAACGCACTCCTAACATTTATCTTAACATTTATTGACAGCCCAAATTATTTTGCCCTGTTTTTTCCTTTCATCAAATCAGTATTTGCCTTTCACGCGATTCATTCCCAGTTCCTCTTCCAGCAAATGACACATCTGTTTTTCTTCCTTGCCCTCATCGTCCATACTCATCCCATTTTTTTTCCAGCAACTATGGGGACTGAGTGATAGATAATTATGAAGAGTTGCAATTTTCCATAAACAAGAAAACATTGTTGGAGAGAAATTAAAAGAATGGCCGGCGTTTGCCGGAGAATGAGTCCAAAATCAAGAGGCAGAGGAATAGATATTGTTGTGACACTGGGGAGGAATTTACTGTTATTTTCACTGCACACTCAAGGTTTTCTGTTCGTCACATTTTCTTCTGTCACCAGATCTAGGGTTTCGCCCATTTCTTGCCTTGTTAATTTTATTTTTCAATTTAATTCTTATTCCCAGTATAGAGTTTCTCAAAAGATTTGATTATTAGCTGTGAAATAGATTGGAATGATGAATAAGTTAAATATTTCTTTCGTAGTTATATAATAATCTGCTTCAACTTTTCTGAAAGTCTAATTATATATTTTTACCTTTTTCCTACTTTAGCCATTGGGATTTCAAGTTGAGGATACAAAATTAAAGCGTGCTGGATTTGATTATTGACGGCATGCTTTACAATTTCCTTTTTGAAGCTGAATATATTCGGAGTGGTGGAGCCATTACTTTCATACATTGACGTTGCTTCCCTTCTAATATAGGCGAATACCTGATGAGAGTAGTGCAACTTGATAGCTTATTATTTGGAGTTTGGTCTCTGTTTTTGGCATTTAAAACTAGGAGGCTGAATACGTAAAAGACAGATACTTCTATGTCTTAAGCACTAAAAATAAAGGTGGCAAAGAATACTATTTTAAAGAGGTACAACAGACTTCTAAAGTGATTATGATGAATATGTTTCTCTCCAGAATGTCAAACGTTTGACATAATTAGTTGTTCAAAACAGAACTGTATGAGGCACTAGATGGAGATGCCATTTTGTTGATTAATCATATGACAAATAATTGTCATCTGATTATCTATAAATTCTTTATACGTTCGACAAGGAGAAAAAGAAATCAGTTGATCAGCTATGCCAAAAGATCACCATTTAGTTAAAAAGGTAAAGAAATGTACAAATTCCAGTCCTTTTTTTGGTAAGATGTTTTGTTATTGTAGAACCACCTCATTTAGACTTAGTGATTCAGATGCCAGCTTTGTCAACCACCTCATTTCTGCCTGCGCATATGATCTTTTGTTGTATCTGCTGAAACATTAAGTTTTATGAATTTACAAGTTATTTAAAACTTGGAAGTGTGTTTGTATTGTATTGTAGAATGATTTCGTAGATGCCATGAATGTTGCTAATTAGCTTGTCAACAATGTCACGGTTTATTTTTCATATGTGAAAGGAAAATGAAAATTTTAGATGAAATATATAAGTTTATTGTGTTTTCCTCGCGTAATAGAAGGTGTTTTTTATTTGACTTTAATTGTTGTTGCTGTGGAACACCGTTAGTTCACTTACCATTTCCAGAGTTTAGAATATTTAGGTATACACAATAGTGAGAACAAGTATAAAACAGAAGAATGCAGATAGCACAATATATCTTCATACTTGCCAGCTATTTTTTTTTGTGATTCTAAACTCTGCTATGCTTTTTTGACGTCTTATTTTTCTTTTTCAGTTTCATATGGAAGAAACTTCTCTTTGCACTGAGGTTTCATCAGATACACAAAGTTGTCAAACTCTGCGAGAAATAGAAAATAGCACTAGAGGATCAAAATGGAATTCATGATGGAAACAAACATGAAGGAAGGAGAGAATTCGTTGCGCCTGCTATAGGAATGGAGTTTGAGTCCTACTACGATGCTTACAATTATTATAATTGTTATGCCAGAGAGGTTGGATTTAGTGTGAGACTAAAAAACTCGTGGTTCAAAGAAATAGCAGAGAGAAATGTGGTGCTGTACTCTGTTGCGGTAGCCAGGGTTTTAAAAGAGTTGAAGATGTAAACCATTTGCGGAAGGAAACGAGAACTGGTTGTGTCACACCCCTCATTTTTTTTAGTCAAAGTCAAGAAAAAATATTTAGTCAAAGTCAAAGTCATTAAAGACTTAAGTTGAACAAATAACTTTTATGGGATTTAAATTGAAATTTCGAGTAATTGAAGGTTAGGAATGATATAATAAAGGAATCCAAGGATTAGTTTCTATTATGGGAAAAAGAAATGACTAAATGTGATATTGTCCGAAGATGGTGGACTTGCCTTGCAATTATTTAATATTTATCCACTAAATAGCATTTATTTTATGTATTTTCTCATATATTTTGGAGAAAGAGAGAGAGAAGAATCGAGAGAGACCGAGAGGAGGAGGAGGAGAAGAAGAATTTTCAAGTTAGGGTTCTCAAATTCTTCAATTTCTCATTTGGTTTAGAATGGAAAGCATAAATTTATTGAATTAAATTTTTAAGGGTTGTGGATAACTTGCTTTAATTCAAAGTCTAGCAAGAATTATGTGTTATTGATATGTATTTGATGATTAAAATAAGTATATATCAAAGAAATATGTGTTTGGAAATTAGTGTTGAAGAAAGTGGAAACTTTAGAAATGGGTTTGTGATATAAAGCCATATTATTTGAAATTCTTGGAATTATGTGATGCTAAAAACTTAAATTAAGGATTTGAGGTTGAAATTCTCCATTTTTTTTTTTTAGTAATTTTTGAGTTTTTGCGAAACAGGTGCTAGTTTTGAAATTCTGCCCAGAAAGATGCTATTTCTGTCAACTTTTTGGTGACACATTTCAATATACAGAAATTGGTGCCAGTTTTCAATATTTTGGAATTATAGTGCTAGTTTTGTCAATCATCTAATTTTGGTGGATTTTTAGTATTGGAACCAAATTAAGTGTTAAATATTTGACGTTTTGGTGTTAAAATAATTTATATAAAGAAGTATATGTTGTTAATGACTCTAAATGGGATTATGAGATTGAAAATGAAATATGTGAAGTTCTCATTGGTAAATTATTATTTCTAATGGTAGTAAAATACTCAAGGAACGCTTGTGAAGGGATATGATTTATTATAGCGAGAGCATGATATCATGCTTGGAATTTGAAAGTGATGAGGCGACGAGAATATCGAAACCATGATTGACTATAACTTTGTGAGTAGATATAAGCTTATTTTTCAGAAATTAGTATTTATAAAATTTATATTAGTTCAGAAAAATTATTATTTTATACAATTGATTTTACAGCACAATTTTCAGAATAAAGTGGATTTATAATCAGTTGTTCTTTTTAATATTTGATTCAATTCATTTAAATTATTTAATTAGCATGTTATATGAGTATTAAATATTTCAGTATATTTAAAGCTATTTTAAAACCATTAGAAAGTACACAGGTGACTTTATCCTAGTCTGCACTTGTGTGAATGTGTTTCCACCGTGTATGACCAGTTATGGTGATTTTACCTGCTCTACACTATTATGAATGTGTTTCCATAGTGTAGACCAAAATTACAGAATTTCAGTTCTGCGCGCGTATGACTAGAATTACAAAATTTCAGAATTACAGAATTGAATAACTTTGTCATGTCTATCGATGCTAACCGATACATGAGTATAGTTATTCCGGATATCTTTTTGGTGTGATTTTTCAGTGTTATACAATTTATCATATTTCAGATTATAGAATTCAGTTAATTCAATTTTCAGAATAAAGCTTTCAGCCTATAGTATTGACCAGTAGCAATATTTCATCAATTTTCATGAATAGCAGATTATTCGTTAAATTTACAGTTACTTATCTAGAATTAAGAACAAAGAATTTTATGATGCAATCATGTTTTAGTTTTAAAAGTGTTACCAGATTTCAAAATTTTTCAAAGATTTAATAAAGCTAGAATTTTCAAAAATATGTAAAAATGGAAAAAGCATATTTATTCGCAAATTATCCACTCACTGAGCTATAAGCTCATATGTCTTTTCACCTTTCTTCATCAGATAGCAGCTGAATTGAGTAGCTTTGGAGTCTATCGTTCCGCTATATTGAGCCACGCTTCATAGATTGTATGGCCTACTTTACTAGACTATGTAGTACATATTTCTTTGGATTATATGTAGTTTATGTCGAAAAAGGTTATCATGGGTTCATTGCATATTTAGCGTCTTTAGTATATTTGAGAATTGTTGGTTGTAAAGAAAGGAAACGTTGATTTGCTGACATTTTATTTGAATAGTTTTATTTTAAGGGACTAACGTATCCTATTTATATTATAGGTATTGATTTGAGGAAAATTAGTTGTTGTTCAGCGGTTTTAGTTCATATTTCTAGAAGAAATCTGTCAAAATTTTGTTAAAAATATTCTTTAGTCAAGCAAGTCAAGTTGTTTTGGTGGTGGATCCAACGTTTACCTGATATCTACCATCGGCGCACGACACATGTTGAATCTTTTAAGGTGATTCGGGGTGGGTCGTGTCAGGTTGTCTTGCAATGATAAGGATGAGGTTATTGGATTCTAAAAGGTGGCAGACACTTGAAGTTACTCTCATTATGATCTTTTATTACGCAATAATTTAGTTTTTTATTTCATAAATAATATATATGAAATAACTTTTTAGTTAGATGGTGTTGTATTATATTTTAATGTTCAAGTGTTTATTCAAAAATTTGTAACGAAATTATCAATTTTTATGCAATTCCAAATTTTTTTTCACAAAGTATCATTATGAATTTTGCAAGTCAATTTACATCAATTTGTAAAAAAAAGATTAAAACGCTACGGCAACGGTCAAAAAACGTTGCAAAAGACTGATAATACAGTCTTTTGCAACATTGAATAAACGCTGCAAAAATTCTTCTCTCAATGGCAATATTGACCTTCGCAACACATGGTAAAACGCTGTAAAAGGTCTTTTGCAACGATTTTTGACCGCTGTCAAAGCCTTTTTTGGTGTAGTGATTTCAACCCTATTCGTTGGTCAATCTTATCATTTTAAATGACATTAAATATTATGATATATGTTTACTATGCGTGATTAAATAAACAAGAAGATTATTACAATAAACAAGAAGATTATTACAAAGACAACAACAAACTAAAACGTGTAGAGAAAAAAAAAAAGTGTAAGTCGAGAGTTTGAGGTAGGGACTAAAGTGGGAGACGAGGTAAAAAATAATAATAATAAAATAATTCACTACACGTGTATGAAGGTCACCAATAACAAGGCAAATGTCTTGTTCGAGTAGTAAGTGTGAAACCTTACCAGATTAATAACCTATCTGAGATTCCATTTTTTTTTAAATTAATTCAATCTAAACAATTAGAAATCGGTATAAAACTTATTCAAAGTATAATATCGAAAATAATACAGCCATCATTTTGGAAAGTTTCTTCCTTATCATTTCTTCATTTTTTTTTTTCTCATTTCATTCTCGTCTTCATCATCCATCAAATCAACTAAGCCACAATTTGGGAAAGAATTCATATACGGCTTAATTTATAAATCTACTTTCTCTTAAAAGAGGGACTTGAGGGAGTACTATTCATTTTTCTCACACTCATTTTCACACTCTATTTCCAAACTGATTTTGTACTGTTCATTTCATTTATCCCATTATCATTTCCTTTGTTTTCACTATCTACTTCCTAACTAAAATAAAAGAGGCACTTGTAGTATACACCGTTTCTATGGAATCGTGCCCAGTTACTGTTTGCCATTTTTTTAATTAAACGATATACTGCTTTATTAACTTTCACTCGCAACCATAATTTTCATTCCTCTTTCTTCTCTCTGTCTATTCTATTTTTCATACAACTATCCACGCTATTTACTCCACTTCCCCCACACAACCAAGACTTCTTCTTTTTTCTTCTTTATTTTAAGAATTTTCTAATCAAAAATTTATTTGTCATTTTTTCATTGAATTTACAGTACAAAACGATATCGTTTCCTTTGTTGAATAGCGAAACGACGCTGTCTTATTCCATTAATATGATAAAAGAATTGAATATATATTATATATAATTATAGAAAATATTTATAATTTAATTAATAATAATTAAATCTTGATCAATGTATATTATATTCACTCATTACTTAATGTTTGAAATGACTTTTTTTTTTTCAAAAATGAAAAAAATAGGATAATGACTAAAATCGAGAATCATAATTTTAAGGATTATCCTTCTCAACAGCATTTAGATGGTATTCCATCCTGCAAAAATTCAAATGCTAGAACATTGAACAAGAGATAATAGAATAAAGCGTAATCTCGAAAAATTAAGTGAACCGAATTGTAACTATAATTTTACACCAATATACTAATAAAAAAGCTAAATGATTTAACAAATTAAAGAACAAAAAAAAAAAAAAAGAATTGCATGCAAAAAATAGTTATTATAAAGTTTTTAATTAAATTGAAATAATTAAAATTAAAAATAAATAGTATTTAATTAAAATTGAAAAAAATTACTTTTACTATAGAACAAAAAGAATTTTAAATCGAACAAAAATTATTTATAATATAAACAAATATAAATTAACAAAAAAACAAAAATAAATGGAGACACACGGAGAGAAACTCTCCATCACACTGTTTCTCTCTCTATAACACAGAGATATTTCTCCATAATACGGATGGAGACTTCTCTCCTTAACAGGGAGAGATACAGAGAATCTCTCCATGTTATATATGGAGAGAAACATCTTCATCACACGGAGAAATTCACTCTATTTCTCATTTATTTTTTTTAAATTCGTTTTGTTTATATTATAAATAATTTTTTTCGATTTTAATTTTTTTACGATAAAACATACTTTTCTCAATTTTAATTAAATATTATTTATTTAATTTTCATAACTTTCTTTTGTTTAGTTTATTATATATTTTTTTAAAAATTGTTTTAAAATTTCTTTTTTCTTCATTTTATAATTAATTTTTTTTTCGATTTAAAATTCTTTTCCTTTTATGATATAAATAATACTTTTTTTAGTTCAAGCTTTATTGATATCTATATGAACATCTGTTTACATTGTCCAGTGTACTTCTACTGAAATTTTTATCTATAAACTTTTACATTTATCGATAAAAAAAGTATTAATATCCCAAACTCTAAGACTCATCAAGTAATAACAAAAACAAAGCTCGACTAACTATCATCATATCTTTTCTACGCTATTATATACTCAATTACAGTATTTCATGTGCATTGCACGTGTATCGTATTAGTATTTATAAAAATGAGTGTTGAATAAATGAATAATATGCACTTTATAGTCCATTGC